CCTGAATTCCCTGTGCCGCCCGTAACCGCCCGAAAAAAGTGCGAGCGGACTAGGTCCTCTCCCTACTCTCCCTTAGGGTATTTGGTTATTCTGTTGTCATAGAGATAAATAGGGGTAATTAGCCAATCATTTGTCGTCTTTTGCGCATATTTTGACAGCTGATGAGACGCCCCACGAGGTAAGGATTTCTCAAAATTTTTTTCACGCGTGCGATCGACTTGCGACTGAGTTGCGTGCGACAATGGCGGAGAACGATGAGAGAGAACCCGATATTCCGGCTGTTTTTTATGACTCAGGGGATGAAGGAAGCTTTAATGGGTTTGAGCTTAGACGTAGTAATAATGATAGTGATAGTGATGTAGATCTTGAAGGTTTGGAGGACGACAGTGGCGGCCCTGCACCTGGAGGTACCATGACGACGAAGACGAAGAAGCTCGATGGACTGACCATCTCAGCAACTTTCTTATCCCGGACTTCACAGCAGAAACCGGCCTTAATTTTAACTTACCTGACATTCCTAAACCTTTACATTACTTTGTAGAGTTTGTAGATGATGATTTATGTGATTTGATTGTCGAAGAAACCAACCGCAACGCTCGCCAAACACTTTCAAATTCATCCGAGCTTTGCAGATCATATGTTGTAAATTTATAAACGTTTCGCTTTATCCTTCATCTCCTGAGTCCTCATCATTCAAGTCTCGATACAATCTTAAAAGAAACTCGAATAATAAAGATTTGTACTCACCGTAATGATTAGTATTAATGGGTTTAGCCGTGTTTTCTTTTCAGGAATTTTTGGTATTTCCGGTTTAACCGCGATGATTTCTCGGGCGAGAAAATTGTGATGTACGATTCTCGTTTTCGGGTTTTTTCTGAGAGATTATCTGGCTTCTATTTGACTTCATCTTATTTGGTATTTGGCCGCTAATTTGCCCCATAAAAAATACTAGAAATCATGTTAAAAATATGGTTTGCGTTCGTCGTCATCAATTACACAGTTCGCTTATCTTTCGCTGTGAAAATCAAATTTGGCGTTTTGCCCCGCTTTACAAATTATTAGAGGTTCTCTTTTCAATGTTTGGCTCTTATTACCCGATATTTGCTGGTAAATTAGCTGCAAATTTATCTCATTGTAAATGCTATAAGTTTCTTAATGTTTGGTTTGGTTTAGTTTGGCTTGAATAATTGGCGAATTAACACATTTCACTTTCCTTTGCATCGGAAAACAATTTCGGGATTTTGTCGCGCGGTAGAAAAATAATTAATTTCTTACTTTTAGATTGGTTTGGGACATTGATTTGAGCTCTTTTGGCCGATTTTATTTGATAGTTTGGCCGCTGATTTATCTGACTTGAAACCATCAAAGTCTTGAAAACTGATCTTGTGTGTGTGTTTACTGCGCATTTGGTTTACTTTAAGCGCTCGNTTATTAATGAGGACACTTAATAATACAGAGAGGGATTGTCATTGACAATCAATTCTGAACACTATCACTCAGAAAATAGGTTTAATTTATTTTCTACATGTTGATGAGGGTTCATATTAATGTATTTTGAAAAAGATGAAAACTGTTCCAGCTATTCCTGTAAACAGTTAGGACTGTAAAATGTTTGCATAGCTTTATGACTTAATCCTGAAATAAGCCAACAGTAAAGCTTTCCTTAAATGTCTATTCACATTTTTATCTTGCAGTCAAGCCTGCACACAAATTAAACAGTTTGAGCAGTAATCAAACAGTCCTGCAAGGCAATGATGCCACATTTAATTGCCTGACAGAAGCCTTTCCTACAGCAACCACATACAGATGGTTTAAGGATGGCAATCGGATAACCAATTCTGCAAATTTTGAAATTTTCGATGCTGGTGGTGTTGAAGAAAGTAGACTGACCATCAAGAAGGCTCAGAAGGGAACTGCTGGACAATACTCATGTGATGGCACAAATGGAGTTGGAACTGGAGAGAGAAAGACTGCTTTCCTATTGGTCAATTGTAAGTTATATCCATTTGTGTGTTATGAACTACAAAGTGTTGTAGACTAGTCAAATGTGTGTGATTGTTACCATATCCTGTATCCCCTTTTATAGCAGTTTACTTGGTGCAATTGTACAGTTGCTATTTGATTTTTATGACATAAGTTACTTTTTGTTTTTAGTTTATTTAAATTTTTCAATTATGTATGTTTGCAACAAATTCAACAAAGCGACATAAAGTAAATGGGTGGTTCAGGGCAACCCCTACCTGGAGAGGTCTAGGCTCCCTTGGAAAATTTTTATGGTTAAGACTTTTGCAGTTCTACTCTCCTGCAATTTAGTTCTATTATGATTAATTTTGTGTTGCTTTGTTGTTACAATATGTCGTACTCTTTATAATTTCTGTTGCTTTGTTGGTCCAAGATGTCAGGTAATTAGAAGAGAATTACTTGCATGTTGGAAGGACAGTGATGTTTGTGTAAATAATACAAACGTGCATCTAGCAGGGTCGATTTACCCACTGTCCAGCTGTTAAAACCCCTGCCTGAAATGTTCCCCTTTGGAACATGTTTTGGTTGCTCCAGGCTATGAAGACTACAATAAGCTTACAAACTCACTTCACGTCTTTTTTCTCTTGCTAGATAAACCTCGGCTAGTCACTGTGACTCCAGACCCAGCCGATGTGGAGCTTGGACAAAGCATAACACTCACATGTGAGGCTGATGGATTTCCAAAACCCTCCTACTCCTGGAAGTTTAATGGAGCAGCAATTGGAGACCGGCGAAACACTTTGCAACTTGCAAGTGCACAAGTATTGAATACAGGGAACTATACATGTATGGCAAGAAATAGCTTTGGTAGTGCTGAGGAAACAAGAATGGTGAATGTGAAATTTAAGTTCACTTCCATAATGAACTCTTGAGGTTTTTAACAGACCTTTGTGTCACAGGTTAATTTTATTTTAAACTAGTGTGATTATGATAGTGTTACTTTGAGAAAAGTTCCAATTTTGTTAACCTGAAAGTCATTGACACCATAGCATGTACTTTAAGCCTGTACACCCTAACATCAGTATGCA